AATATTTGGGATATATTTAAAGATTATTTTGTGTTCATCTGAAATTCAAATTTAATTGAGGTTTTGTATTTTATGTGGTAACTCTACTCCCCATGCCCCAGTGAACCCCTAGAACCACCCCAGACCCACCCCCAGGCTTCCCCATGGACCAGTGAACCCGGCACCATCCCCAGCTCTGTCCCATGCCCCCGTGAGCTCCCTGAGCCTCCCTAGCCCCTGCTTGCACCTGGGGGAGCCCCTCAGCGCTGCTCTAGCCCTCCAGCTCCATCTCCCCTTCTGCTTCCAGGGATGTCGCTCGGGGCTATGAGAACGTACCCATTCCCTGTGTCAACGGTGTGGACGGGGAGCCCTGCCCCGAGGACTATAAGTACATCTCAGAGAACTGCGAGACGTCCACCATGAACATCGACCGCAACATCACCCACCTGCAGGTAAGCAAGCGGCTGGCCAGAGGCCCTCCCAAAGGGACACCCAGAGTAACCAGGTACAGTAGGGCATGTTGTGGGCTAACCAGGACACCTGGCTGAGGGTGGGGGGCTGTGTCCACTCAGGGGAAGGGCTCCTTTTTCTAAACCACAGGAAGGCCCCAGGGCAGCTCTGGGGATACTCCCATCAGCAATATCTTGATTCTCCTTCACCCCGGGACCCTGACCACCACTATCCTAAAACATGAACCCCCAGAGGAGATAGCAGTTGGGGGGCAGGGAGCATCTGGGGGTTGAGCTAACCCTCTCCTGCCCGCCCAGCACTGCACGTGTGTGGACGACTGCTCCAGCTCCAACTGCCTGTGTGGCCAGCTTAGCATCCGGTGCTGGTATGACAAGGTGTGTCCTCTCCTCAGAGGATCTGACCTGAACAATGTTCACTCCCTGGGCCCTTGTTCTCACCTCCTGCCCTGAGAGGGAAGTGGCTGTGAGGGTGGGGCAGCACCTGGGGATGTCCTGGGGCACTGCCAGGACAGAGATGGGCCATGCCCAGGTATATGCAAATCAAGGGTCATGGCTGTGTGCTTCCTGTTCTCGGTCTCAGAGCCTGTGTGGCCTCCCTCAGTCCCCCTCCCCCATCTGGGGTGGGGCAACAGTGCATTTTTCCATGGGGTCTTGGGGGTCCTGGGCAGCTGAGGTGGGCATCACACAGACGACTCTCCCCCCCTCTGGACCCCAGGATGGGCGGCTTCTCCAGGAGTTTAACAAGATCGAGCCCCCCCTGATTTTTGAGTGTAACCAGGCCTGCTCCTGCTGGAGGAACTGCAAGAACCGGGTGGTGCAGAGCGGCATCAAGTGAGGGCCCACCCTGCAGCCCACCCATACACGCCTCACCCCCTTCATCAGCAGAAAGTGGTGGGGTGCCCCTTCCCTTACCCTGGGGCTTTTCCAGGCCCCTCCCGGCAACATCGCCATCCCTCCTGCCCCCAGGGTGCGACTGCAGCTCTACCGGACAGCCAAGATGGGCTGGGGGGTCCGCGCCCTGCAGACCATCCCCCAGGGTACCTTCATCTGCGAGTGAGTCTGCTGGGGCACCTTGGCACCTGGGGGTGAGGGGTGAATGCACAGCCACTGCCCAGGCCTCCCTCTCTGCTCTTCTCCCAGACGGGCCCCATCCCTCTCACTGCCCCCACTCTGGCCAGCCTCCTGTGCCCCCCTCCCACAGCCAAGGACCACACCTCCACTCTGCCCAGACCCCAGAGCCTTCTGTCACTGTGCCCGCATCTTCCTCCCACTTCACCTCCACATATCTCTGATCCTTACACATTCTCTCCCCTGCCCTCTGAGCTGGGAAAAGTGCTCATTTGGGAGACAGGCAGCCCTGAGTTTAAGCCGATCTGACACTGTGCCCTTGGCCAAGTTACTGAATCTCTTTGAGCCTTATTTTTCTTGTCTGTAAAATGGAGATGATAACTATCTTTCAGTCCTCCTTTTCAGGGTCCTTGTTCCTCTCCATCAGTCCTTTCACTGCCCAGCCTCTGTAATCACCTCCTCTCCCCTGGCTCCTACCTCATAGCCTTCAAACTTAACACAGGTTTTCCCTTAGCTAACCGTGCTAACCAAAAGGTTAGCAGTTCGAGTCTACCCAGAGGTGCCTTGGAAGAAAGACCTGGCAATCTGCTTCTGAAAAATCGGCCATTGAAAATTTGGGGGGCATAGTTCTACTCTGGCACACATGGGACTGCCATGAGTTGGAATCAACTCAGCAGCAGTTGGTGGTGGTCGTGGTGGCTTTCTATCCCAATTTTTCTCCTTCACGTCCTTTCAGCTTGGACAAGTGCCCCCCTTCCTCCTAGGCCTCCATGTCCCCACCATCCGCTCACTGCTTATCCCTGCCAGAATCTGCCTTTGCCCTCACCCTCTGCAGATGCTGCCTCTCAGCAGTCGTCATTCTCCTGACACCTCCTTAGACTACTCTGGTTCCCAGGACCCTGACATCACCCCTTCGACCCATCCATCCTGCGCCAGCTCCTGTCCCTCACTTCGCTGTCCCAGTGTGCTGTTCTCACGCTGACTCCTTCCTCGAGTTCCTCCTGGCTTCTGTGGCTCTGGCTCTCGTTGCAGCCCTGACCCCCTCCCGTCCTTCAGTCCTGCATTGCCCACCACCGGTCGGGTGACCTAAGTACACAAACCTCTCTGTGTCTAACTACACCTGAGCAAATTTCCCTACCCAACCAACTGCCAATAAATACTAATCCCCGTAACCACAGAGGCTTGGCGTCTTTAGGCTCACTGGAATCTTCCTTTGACAAGTCTCAAACCTGTACCTTTAACTTCCATGTTGTAGCTTCTCCAGGTCATCCCTGGCCTGCCTGCCTCGGGCTTCCCTCACACCTGCCAGTCCTGCATGTGGTTCCAGCTGTTCAGTGGGGAGCTGGCATCTTGTGTCCTATGTTGTCCCCTTACATGTGTATATCCCCATGCTCCTCCTGAGTCCCCCCTGGGGGGGCTGGACCCACCTCCCTCCCATGTGATGTCCAGCCTCTTCCCTGGATCTCCCCACCACCCTCAGCCTGGTGGTCTGTGGGACTCATGGATGGTGACTGGACCAGCTTATGGAGTAGTGGAAGGGGGTTCCATGGGATTGTGAGGAGAGACGGGGCCTGGAGTAGCTTTCCCATAACCCCTGCTCACTTTGAGAACCACCACTTGCTGCCCAACAGGTATGTCGGGGAGCTGATCTCTGATGCTGAGGCCGATGTGAGAGAGGATGATTCTTACCTCTTCGATTTAGACAACAAGGTGGGCAAGAAACCCCTATGCCACCATCCCACCCCTGCACTCCCAGTGGCTGGGCTCCTAGGGTCCCCTGGGAAGTCAGCAGATTGGATACCTGGGAAGGAGGGACTAGGTGTTACTGGTAGTTGGCTGGGCAGGCAGGATGGGGGAGATGTGGAAAGTGATGCTCTTGCCTTCAGGATGGAGAGGTGTACTGCATTGATGCCCGTTACTATGGCAACATCAGCCGCTTCATCAACCACCTGTGCGACCCCAACATCATCCCCGTCCGGGTTTTCATGCTGCACCAAGACCTGCGGTTTCCACGCATTGCCTTCTTCAGTTCCCGAGACATCCGGACTGGGGAGGAGCTAGGGTGAGGCGTCCCAGGACCTTTCCCGGTGTGGGAGATGTAACAAGCCTGCGACCGGTTGCTGAAGGCCGGGGAGCACTGGTTTCCGGGCGTAGGTTAGAGCAGGCCGCTCAGACTTCAGTGTACCTAAGTGCCACCTGGAGGGCTTGTTAGAACAGAATCCTGGACCTCACCGAGAGATTCTGATTCAGTCAGTCAGGGATGGGGCTTAGGATTCTGCATTTCTCACAAGCTCCCAGGTGATGCTGATGCTGCAGGTCGAAAGAACATACAAGGGCTTAGCGCTTATCAGAGGACGATGGGAATGGGTGCCTGAGTTTCTCCTGGGGAGCAGGCTCGTCAGAGGCCTTGGGGTGGACTCAGGGCAGCTGGGTCTGGGTCCTGAGCCCCGTGTGCTCCTCTGACAGGTTTGACTATGGTGACCGCTTCTGGGACATCAAAAGCAAGTATTTCACCTGCCAGTGTGGCTCTGAGAAGTGCAAGCACTCAGCCGAGGCCATTGCCCTGGAGCAGAGCCGCCTGGCCCGCCTGGACCCCCACCCCGAGCTGCTGCCCGAGCTCGGCTCCCTGCCCCCTGTCAACCCCTGAGAATGGACCACACTCACTCTCCCTCCCCACCCCTGATGGCCAGCCACCTGCCTCAGCAGCCTCTGCCACCTGCTGCTCATGGCCCACCCTGGGGGCACTGCCAACTTTTCCCCACCCTAGCCCTTGACACATTCCTTGGCCAGATACCCTAGCCAGGCCCTGGAGGTCTGACAGCCCCCTTCTCCCAGAGCTGGTTCCTCCCTGGGAGTGTGACTTCAGGGCTGGCAGCCCCTCTGTTCCCCATCCTCAGCTGAATTTGGATGAATTGAAATCGGGCCTTTTTGCCAACTGGTTTCTTTTGTTCTCAATAAATTGTTAGATTTGATAATGAACTATCTGGGTGATTGAGGGGTGGGGTACACATGGCAGCAGGAATGTGGATCCAAGGGGCAGAGGGGATGGGAAGCAAGCTGGACAGGTGTGGCTGGTGTGGACGGCTGCCCAGAGGGAGGGCAGGGTGGTAGGGGACCACTGTGGGGCAAGGTTTAGTCAAGGACTAAAAGGCAAATCCTGACACTTAATCTTTGGAGGGAAGGTGTGGCATGAAAATAACCACCATAGGTGAGGCCCTTCGCAAAACTATGAAGGGTTTTCCTATCGGAACGTGCCAGGTCCTTCCTGCCATGGACTATGGGGCCCCCAACAGCCAGCCTTTGTGCCTCTGTCACAGGCTGAGCCTTCCCAGCCCACTGGGCACAGGGTTGAGAAGGAGGAACTAGTGTGTGTTGGGTGGGGACCACAGGCAGGGGTGGGGCCGTGACGTGGCTGGGGGGGCGGGGCAGGCGGCAGGTGAGACGACAGGTTTCTCTGGCTCCAATCACTCTGGAGACTGAACCATGGGGCAGCGGGACAAGGAGGACGCCAATGGTGAGGCTGGGGGTAGAGGCTAAGACCCTGCAGAGGGAAGGGAGGAAGGGAGGGCCAGGCCCAGGCCACTGCAAGGAATGGTGGCTGGGCTGCTCCCAGGGAGAGTGCTCCCAGGGAGAGAAGCTGAGGAGAGCTGTGGGTCCCTGAGGGGAGGGCCCAGGAAAAATGCACCGATGGAAGGGGGGTGAGGCTCAGGGGCTGGGAGCCCTTACTGGGGCCTTTGGAGAGGGAAATTGGAGTCTGGCTATCCATAAGAAGTTGGGGTCCCTGAGAAGAAGAGGAAGAGTTTCAGGCCTGGACTCTGGGTCCTTGAAGAGAGAGCCCGAGAAACAAATCCTGGCTAGAAGGAGGCAGAGCTGGGGTCCCAAGCTGGGGATGGAGCTCAGGGGCAGGGAGTGTCGTGCTTTGAAGCCGTTGAGGGCGGAGGCTGGGCCTGGTCCCAGGGAGGAGTAAGGGCTGGGGTCCCTGGGAAGAGAAGGATTTTCAGCCTGGACTATAGGTCCCTGCGGAGAAAGGTGCTGGAGACCTGCCTGCTGAGCTTTCTGTGAGTGGTTGGGGATTGGACCCCCGACGGGCTGGGGGCCTACCTGCAGGGGTCTCTGTAAGGAGTGGTAAATAGTGGCAGGGGCCCAGGTAGGGTGGGGGGCTGTACTGGGAGTCCATCTGAGGAGTTGGGGCTGAGGGTCTTTGCAGAGAGGGAGCTGGGGACCTTCCTCCAGGGTTTCTGTAAGGAGCAAAGAGTAAGAACCTGCCTCAGGGTACCTGAGGAATGGGAGCAGGGATTCTGGGGTTTCTGTGAAGGGTAGGGGCCCTGGTGGCGCAGTGGTTAAGCGTTTAGCTGCTAACCAACCAAAAGATTGGCAATTTGAATCCACCAGCGGCTCCTTGGAAACCCTATGGGGCAGTTTTACTCTGTCCTATAGGGTCTCTATGAGTCGGAACTGACTAAACAGCAATGGGTTTTTTTGTCTGTTTTGTGAAGGATAAGACCTGGGGCAGATGGGGGAAGCAGGGCCTGTCACCAGAGTCTGTGAGGAATAAAGGCTGGGAGCCTGTCCCAGGCATCCTGAGGAATAGGTACTGGGGATCTGAGGGAAGAGGAAGCTGGGGACCTACCTCAGGAAGCCCTGTGAACAGTAAGGGCTGGGGCCTGCCTGCAAGGTCCCGAGGGGATTGGGAGTCTGGGCTCCTGGTCTGGAGGGGAGGCATCCCTGAGGGAGGAACTCCCCAAGGCAGGGCTTGGATCTGTAGGAGGTTAGGGAAAGGGGCAGCAAAGAGTCCCTAGTAGACTTCTGGATTGGCTTTGAGTCAATCATTGACCTCATGTCCATCAGCCTTGGTAGGACAGAGTCCAGAGCACCTGGGGAAAACAGATCCCACCCTTTCCCAGCCTCTTGCCCAGGCCTCCACCCTCCCTACACAGGGGACCCTGGCTATCTGGCCCCACCTTCTCCCATGTGTACTCTGGGAGGACAGGGAACAGCACTTGTCCACAGTCTCAACGGTCGGGCTCAGGTGTCACCATGACTTCCAGTCAGAGGCCGGCGTGGGGTGGGGGGGGACCTAGGGACTGAGATCCCTTAGGGACTGGGGTCTACAAGAGGCCCCTTCCATCCCCAGGCCATGCAGGGGTTAAAGCCACTTGGCTCCAGTTGCTTTTCCTATGGCTTCAGGCCAGAGGGTGGAAGGAGGGCCTGGGGCAGATGTGAGAAGGAGCTGTGACCTCCCAGAGGGGCTCAGATTTGTGTGGTCCCTGGGTAGGGTATGGGGAAGGGAGAGGGATGAGGATGGGGGCGTGAGAGCCACTGAGATGGCTCACACAGAGTCCCACATCCCAGCTAGAGGGAGACTTAGGAGAAACTGGCCAGGGTGGGGGCAGGGGATGAAGGCCATTTGCCAGGCTGAGCCGGAAACAGCCCATAAAGGCCCCCCTCCCCCTCCTGCCAAGGCCGCCTGGGTGGAGTTCATGGCCTGAGCTGCTGAGCTGCTCAGCTGCTGACCAGGCTCTGGTCCTACTTTTCCTGCTCTCCAATTCCGCCTCTTCCAGGGCCAGCCCTGCCCCTGTCCATACCCTCCAAACTCCCGGGTTGGGTTGGGAAAGAATTCGGGAGGGCCAGAAAGTGGGGAGAGAGTCCTCTCAGTGCCTCATTCTCCACACTCCTCCCCATTCCCCTCAGGGAAACCAGTCAAATATGACCCCTCCTTCCGAGGCCCCATCAAGAACAGGTGAGTTCTAGGCACTCGGTGGGTGGGGAGGGGGCAGGTCTTGTTTTTCCTTTGTATTTGCTGAAATATGGGCAAGGAACTTGTAGGAAAGAAAAGGTAAGCAGAGTGGTGCTTTTGGGGGGATTGTTGTGTCTGGGAGTGTGCTCCAGAGGGGCTTCCGGGGGCTAGTGATGTCCTGGCATGCTCACTTTGTGAAAATTCATCAAGCTGAGCACTTCTGAGGTGTGCGCTTTTCTGTGTTATACTTTAGAAAAAATGTACCCACCCCCTAAAGAGCTTTCTTAAAAAAAAAAAAAAAAAAAAAGACTGATCCCACTTTCCAATTCAGCATCCCCCAACTCTCCAGCCCTCACCCCCAGACACCCCACCCCCATTTCCTCAGCTTGGGCTCCCATTTCTCTCCCAGGGGCTGCACAGATGTCATCTGCTGTGTCCTCTTCCTGATCTTCATTTTGGGTTACATCGTGGTGGGGATCGTGGGTAAGTTTTCAGCTGCCCAGAGTTGGGGCAGTGGGTAGGGGGCAGTAACCCAGGGAGGGGCCACACCCATAGTTGCTCCCCTACCCAAGTCCCTACCCTCCAGTGATTCATCTGTGTGTTTCTGTCTCCAGCCTGGGTGTATGGAGACCCCCGGCAAGTCCTCTACCCCAGGAACTCAACCGGGGCCTACTGCGGGCTGGGGGAGAACAAGTGAGTATGAAGAAATGGGGGGAGGAGGGAGGTAAGGGGGAGAACAGGCAGGAGACTCCCCCCATCCCCCAGGCTCCAGACCCATCCATGCTAGAATTGGGAGGCTACAGTCATGGGGAGTCCCTTGGTGGCACAAATTGCTAAGCAAGCGCTCAACTACTACTAGCCAAAAGGTTCGCAGCTCAAACCCACCCAGAAGCATCTTGGAAGACAGGCCTGGCAATCTGCTTCTGAAAGGTCACAGACTTGAAAACCTTATGGAGCAGTTCTTCTCTGCACGCATGGGGTTGCCGTGGGTCGAAATCGATTTCCCAGCAACTGGTTTATAGAGTCATGGTTAAGTACATGGGTTTTCGAGTTTGGAGATGGGTGCGCAAATCCCAAAGAGGCTATGTTCTGGTTGTATGGCCTCGTGTAAATTACTTAATCTCTCAGAGCTTTGATTTCCTTATCTGAAACACAAGGATGATTACAGAAGTGATGCTGTCAGTTCCCAGCATGCAGGAAATGGTCAGTTCAATAGATAATACAACCTCTAACACTTATATGGTGATTGCTGTGTCCCAGGCAGGCAGTGTACTTTACACACACTAACTCATTTAAACCCGATGAGGTAGGTGCATGATGGACTGAGACAGTGAGGGGTCAACTGACTTGCCCAAGGTCATACAGCTGGTGAGTGGTGACTTGGGTCCAGAGTTCATAGCTGTTGCAATGCTGAATTACTCTGGGAAATCTTCTGGGTGTCTCCCCTACCTCCACAGGTAGACTGAGCTTCCTGAGGCCAGGAAAGGTATAACATGTCCGGGGCATGCTGGGCTCACTGTACCACTGAGGCAAGGCCCTGGTAGTCACTCCCTGTGCCCCCAGGCCTGACCAGGCCCTGATGCACCATGCCCTCCCCTCCCGCAGAGACAAACCATATCTACTGTACTTCAACATCTTCAGCTGCATCCAGAATACCAACCTCATGACAGCTGTCACAAATGACCTGCAGTGCCCCACTCCCCAGGTCAGAGCCTGGGTCCTGCCTCTGCCCCAGATCTCCTCCGGGGTCCTGGGTACCAGCCCCTTAGCATGCTCTCTGCCCCCAGGTGTGTGTGTCCTCCTGCCCAGAGTCCTCATGGACCATGCAAGTGATACAGGTCCCCCAGACAGTCGAGGAGGTCTTCTATGCTTTAAATAGAAATTTTTGTCTGCCGGGGGTGCCCGGGAATATGGTGAGTGCTGCCCTCAATGTTACCAAGAAGGGTCATCAGGGGCGGAGACAGGAGGATGGAGGATCCCCAGGGTGGCTCTCCTGTGGAGGGCAGGGCAGGCTGAGCCTGAGGGTGGGGTGGGGGGGATCCTCACTCTTCCTTCTGCTGACCCAACATCTTTTATCTTTTATCCTGCTCTGTGTCTGTGTGTCTGTCTGCCTCTCTCCCTCCCCCTCAGTCGGTGCTCGAAAGCCTGCAGCAAGAGCTCTGCCCCAGTTTCCTTCTCCCCTCCAGTCCAGGTGAGATGCATGAATTCCTTCCTTGGCCATCATCTAGTCCAATATTTTTCTTACTCAAATGAGGAAACCAGGCCCAGAGAGGGTGAAGTCACACAGCTCATTAATGGCAAAATGGGATTTTGCACCAGGTCTCCATTTCTCTCTGCTGCACGACCCTGCAGTCAGATCACTAGTGTTTACCAGGCACCTACTGTGTGCCAAGGAGTCCCTGGGTGGCACAAATGATTTGCACTTGACTACTAACCTAAAGACTGGCTATTTGAACCCACCCAGAGGCATATCAGAAGAAAGGCCTGGCAATCTGCTTCTGAAAGGTCACAGCCATGAAAACCCTGTGGAGCTCAGTTCTATTCTGCAACACATGGGGTCACCATGAGTCAGAATTGACTCGATAGCAGCTGGCTTGGTTTGGATACTATGTGCCAGCCACTGAGGAGAGATGCAGAGAAGATGAAAATTGCTCCTGCCTGGAGCTACATTCTAGGCAGAGAGATCAAAGATGCTCACAAAGAGAGGATGCCATGAAAACATGCATGGGTGAATCCACACACACATACGCTTATATATATGTGTATGGAAAAAAGATTAGAAAGATGTTCATCCAAACGTTACAAGTGAGTGTGGCTAGCTAGTAGGATCACATTTGATTTTTTTTTTTTTTTCCTTTTCCCTGTATCCTCTTCTCTTCTTTCCAACAGTAAATGTTATTTTTTAATAGAAAAAAGTTTTTTTAATTAAAGCATGAGAAAATATATTCACTTCTTAGTTGTGTCTGAAATAAATGCTTCAGACTCAGATAGATCTGGATTTAAATTCCAGCACTTGCTAGCTGTGTGATCTTGGGCCAGTTACTCGACCTCTCTGAGCCTGTTTCCTCATCTTCAGAATGTAGATGACAAAGCCAATTTGCTAGACAAATATGTTGTGATAAATGGCTCTATAGGCACAGAGCACGTGCCACAGGAAATGGAGGAGAGGTGTGAAGGTTTCCTGGAGGAGGGGGAATGGAGCTGAACAGGGAGTGATGGGTAGTATTTCTGGAGGAGAGAGCACTCAGAGGGGGATACAGCAGGAGCAAAGGCATAGAAGAGAGAGGAAAGTGGGCTGGACCTGGTAGCCTGACCAGGGAGTGTGGACACTGTCTCCAGGACAGAGCCTCTGGAGGTGTCTGAGCAGCAGAGTGACCTAGAGTCTAGGGATGAGAGAGCCGTGCTGTGGCATGGTCCCCCTGGCACTCAGGAAGAGGTCGGATTGAAGACTGGCTCTGGTTGTGGGGGCAGGGGCTTTAAGAGTCCAGACTAGAAGGGATGAAGGTCTGAACCAACGTAGCAGCTGGGGGCTAGGAGAGGTGGAGGTGGGGAGAGGCATGTTGAGACAGTGAAGGAAGAGTGGATTGGGCTCAGCAGGACAGGAGCTCCCGTGTGGCTGTGACATCAAGGGCAGCCTCCCTTTCCCCTCCCAGCTGAGAAGCAGAGCCCATCACTCCTTGCTCCCCTGAGGGCTCTGTGGGCTGGGGTGGGGGCTGAGCCCTGGGCCTTCCCACTCTGCAGCCACGTTCTCTCTCTGCAGCTCTGGGACGCTGTTTTCCATGGTCCAACAACACCCCGCCTGACCTCCCCGGGATCACCAGCAACATCTCCCAGGCGATCAGGTGGGCATCCCCATCCCACACATCTCTACCCCATAGCCCTTCCCTTCCTTCCTCTCCAGGACCCCATCTGACCCTGTCTCTTCCCAACAGTGGTCTTCTTGACACCCTCAATGCCCGAGACATCAGCGTTAAGATCTTTGAAGATTTTGCCCAATCCTGGTATTGGATTCTTGGGTGAGTCACCAGAGTCCCCCATCCTCCTGTCCTTCTCCCCTCCCTGATCCTCTATCCCCTAGCCCAGTGATTGAAACAGAGATTTGGACAGGGGAGGAGGAGCCAGAGCTCAGGATGGACCTCAAGCCCAACGGGATTTGGAAGGGAAATGTCTAATCTGGGGATGTTAGGGGTGTGAAGAAAGGCATTTGGGGGCCTCTGAAAGGGGAAAGATTTTGGGGACCAGAGGTGACCCTCACCTACCTCACGCTTCCTGCAGTGCCCTCGCTGTGGCTCTGGTCCTGAGCCTGCTGTTTATCCTGCTTCTGCGCCTGGTGGCCGGGCCCCTGGTGCTGGTGCTAATCCTGGGGGTGCTGGGAGTGCTGGCATATGGCATCTACCACTGCTGGGAGGAGTACCGAGTGCTGCGGGACAAGGGAGCCTCCATCACTCAGCTGTACTTCACCAACCTCAGCGCCTACAGCAGAGTGCAGGAAACCTGGCTAGCTGCCCGTGAGTGCCCTACTCACACCCAGTCACCGGCGCCTGCCCTGGGCCACGCCGGGCCCGGGCCCTGACCCGGGCTCCACTGCCCCCATCTTCCCGCAGTGATTGTGCTGGCTGTGCTTGAAGGCATCCTGCTGCTGATGCTCATCTTTCTGCGGCAACGGATTCGAATCGCCATTGCTCTCCTGAAGGAGGCTAGCAAGTCAGAGCCTGTCTGGAGGGAGATGGGGCCGGGGGGAGGGGTTTGGGCCTGGATGGGGGAGCTGGCAAGGTGGCAGGGAGCCATGGAGGAGAAGGGCAGAACAGCATAGAAGTTAACACTGCTCTACGACTTAGCCTTCCTGGGTCTCATTTTACCTATCTAAAAATAGTAGTTCCTACCTTATAGGGCTGTCATGAGGATACAATGAGCTAATGTCTGTCAAGTGCTGAGACCAGTGCCTGACACAGAGGAAGCCCTCTGAAAGGGTTAGTGGTAGTGGTAGTTGTCATCGTGTGATGGCTGTTGGTGGGTGGTATTGGCAGGATCCAGGCAGGGGGGAAAAGCAGCAGCTTGCTCCCAACCAGGACCTGTCATATCAGTCAAGAGACCATACAGACTATTTGGGGATGCTCTTACTTTTCTCTCCCTGAAGCTATCCCAGATGGCTTCTCTGTGACTCTGGTCTCCTCTAAGGGTCCCTTGAACCTGACTTATTCAATTCAGTTTATCCAGTGAGCACCTACTGGGTACTCTGTCCTGCACAAGCACCAGGGATACAGATATGAAAGACAAAGTCGCTGCTGCGGTTGCTTCAGCCTAGGGGGTGTGGGATGGCCCTGGCAAGGGCGGAGTGGGGTCCTTGCTGGGTGCCAGGGCTATGCTGTTGAGCATTCTTATCTCCCTGCAGGGCTGTAGGACAGATGCTGTCTACCATGTTCTACCCGCTGGTCACCTTTATCCTCCTGCTCATCTGCATTGCCTACTGGGCCATGACTGCTCTGTATCCTTTGCCCACACGCTAGGCCCTTTTGGGGTCCTTGGGGATGGGGGCAGATCTTAGTGCCATTGGAAGAAGGCTTCCCTTCCACCGGGCAGATGCAGCCCTGCACCTGCCCCCGCACAGAGTGGAAAGAGCGGGCACAGGCTGATTTCAGCCCTGGTGGTGGAGTGGTTAAGACCTCGGCTGCTAACCAAAAGTTTGGCAGTTCAAATCTATCAGGCTCTCCTTGGAAACCATGTGGGGCAGTTCTGCTCTGTCTTACAGGGTCGCTATGAGTCAGAATCGACTCCACGGCAACGGGTTTGGTTTGGTTTTGGTTTCTTTGCAGGGAACGTTTGGGTCCATGGGTGGCACAAACAGTCTGCACTCAACTACTAACCTAAGAGTTGGCGGTTCAAACCCACCCACTGGTTCCACAGAAGAAAGGCCTGGCGATCTGCTTCCATAAAGCTTACAGCCAAGAAAACCCTATGGAGCAGTTCTACTCTGTAACACACAGGGTCATCATGAGTTTCAGTCGACTTGATGGCAATGGGTTTGGTTTGCAGGTAACAACTGGTACAAGCGTATGGCAGCCCTGGGAAGAGGTCCCTGAGAAGGGGACCTGTGGAGACGCCCTGTGACCATGGTTTCCTTGACTCCCTTCTGGGTACCTGGCCACATCGGGGCAACCCCAGTATGTCTTGTGGGCACCCAATGCAAGCTTGCCTGGCTGTGAGGAAGTGTCATTGAACAAGTCGTGCGATCCCATGGTGAGAGGTGATGGGATGGGCATGGAGGGGACGCCAATAGGGCTGAGGGGATGTTAGGGACTGTCTAGTTATCTAGTGCTGCTGTAACAGAGATACTACAAGTGGGTGGCTTTAACACACAGAAATTTAGTTTCTCATAGTTTAGGAGGCTAGAAGTCCAAATTCAGGGTGCCAGCTCAAGGGGAAGGCTTTCTTTCTGTCGGCTCTGCGGGAAGCTTCATGTCTTTTCTGAGCTTCTGTTCCTTGGTTCCTCAGTGACCTTCAAGTGGTTCGCATCTATCTTCCCACATCTCTGCTTGCTTGCTTAATCTGCTCTTTTATATCTCAGATTGATGTAAAACACACCCTACACTACTACTGCCTCATTAACATAACAAAGAAAACCCATTCCCAAATGGGATTATAACCCACAGGTCCCCCATCAAGTTGATTCTGACTCATATAGTGACCCTATGAGTAGAATAGACACCAGAGTAGAACTGCCCCATAGGGCTTCTGAGGCTGTAATCTTTACGGAAGCAGACTGCCACATCTTTCTCCCGAGGAGCAGCTGGTGGGTTCGGAACCACTGACCTTTGGGTTAGCGGCCGAGCACTTAACCAGTGTACCACCTGGGCTCCTCCCCACAGGTATAGGAGTTAGGATTTATAACACATATTTTTTGGGGACACAGTGCAATCCATAACAGGGACCTACTGGTCCAAATCCCTCATTGTGCACATGAGATGGAGGCCCAGAGAGGGCAAGGGGCCCACTCAAGGCCACACAGCCACCCCCAGCAGAGCCAAAAAGGGAGTGCCACTGACTCTTGATCTAGTACTCCCAAGCTCATCCATTATAAAGAGAAAGAAACTGAGGCTGGGAAGAGGCAAGGTGAGCCCAAGGGCAGGGCCAGGCCCTGGGGAAGCTGGAGACCAGAACTTATTCCACCCCTCTCCAGGACATTCCTCACCTTGAGGTACCTTGTTCCTCTGCCTTCTGAGTCTCAGTCCACTCATCTGTTAAATGGAGGTCATTATAATATTTGTCCCACAGGGCAGCTGAGAAAATGAAGTGACACATTACAAACATAAAGTGTTTAGTATAATACCTGGCACCAGATAAGCATTTGATAACTTGTGGTTGGGTTTGTTTGTTTGTTTTTAAGCCTTTCTCCCTGGGAACACAGTCCCTAGCAGCCTAGCCAATAAACATATGGGTACTCCCTGGGGTGAAGCTGCTTCCAGAAATGCCGCCCAGTGAGGTGGCCGGGGCACTGTCCAGAACCCTGGCCTACTGGGAATTTACTGTCCTCCAAGCCTCTTCTGAGCTGGCACCATGGGCTGGGCCAACAGGCATCAATCCCACTCTACATAAAAGGAAAGGGAGGCTTGGTTACATTGACGGAGGACCTACTACGTGCCGGTCACAGGGTATGCAAAGCCCAGCATGACCTGGTTCTTGCTTTCAACTTACTCATGATCCAGCAGTGGATACAAACCCATACTTACATGCAAAGTAGAAAGTGGTTTGTTCATTTTATTATTATAAAGTGTTAACATATACTGAGATTTTTGTCACATTTGCTGGAAAGGGTTTTTTTCTATCTGTGTGTTTTGACTTTTTATTATGGAAATTTTCCAACACACCCGAAAGTAGAATAGTACAGTGAATCCCTGTACCCATCACCCAGATTCCACAACCCTCAACTTTCTGCCATTCTTGTTTCCTCTATCTTCCTACTCCCCACCTGCAAATTTTCTTCCTGAAGTTTTCTAAAGCAAATTGTAGCATCATGTCATTTCCCCTGTAAATACATCAGGATGATCTCAACAGATAAGGACATTTTGAAAACAACCACTAAACCATTAAGAGCTCACTTGGCTACTAACCGAAAGGTTGGCAGTTCGAATCCATCCAGAGGAACCTCGGAAGAAAGACCTGGTGATCTACTTCTGAAAGATCACAGCCATTGAAAACCCTATGGAGCAGTTCTACTCCGAAACACATGGGGTCACCATGAGTTGGAATCATCTAGACAGCAACTAGTTCGTACCATTATCACACTCAGCAAAATTAACAATAATTTCTTAATGTCATCTAACACCCAGTTTGTTCAATTTTGCTAGAAAGTGTTTTGGTTGAAGTTGCAGAGGCTGTGCTGTGATTTCAGAGGCAGGGTAGCTAGCCCAGACTGGAGGCTCTGCAGGCTTCCAGGGGGACAGCTGCATGAAGGCGAGGCAGAGGAGGGCATTGGTCCCAGGCTCCTTAGCCACACTGCCTTCACACACACCATTACATCTTTTCCCAGATGGCCTGAGCGCTGTTGTGCCAATTGGGAGACTGAAGGATGTTAACTACATTCACACGATAGGCACTGTTTGAACCCAGAGATGGACACTCCTGGCTCCCCCAGCTCAGAGGGGGTGCTACTTCCCTGCCTCTTCTCTGGGAGGGGCAGGAGCTGGCTGGGAATGGGCAGAGGCCACAACTCTACACCAAGATCTCTGAAGGCTACTCTGTCCTCCCAGGCCCGGCAGGTGAACTCCTCATGTCCAGGGCTGATGTGCATCTTCCAGGGCTACTCGTCCACAGGCCTGGCACAGCGTACCCTCTTCAACCTGCAAATCTATGGAGTCCTGGGACTCTTCTGGACTCTCAACTGGGTACTTGCCCTGGGCCAGTGTGTCCTGGCTGGGGCCTTTGCCTCCTTCTACTGGGCCTTCAACAAGCCTCGGGACATCCCCACCTTCCCCTTGGGTGCTGCCTTCATCCGTACACTTCAGTAAGCCTGGGATGGGGGCGTGGGAATTGTGAAAGTGAGGGTCTCAGGGCACCCCAAGGCTGCCTCTGACCACTCAACTCCCTCTGCAGTTACCACACTGGGTCTCTGGCCTTTGGAGCCCTCATCCTGACCCTCGTGCAGATGGCCCGGGTTGTTCTGGAATACATTGACCACAAGCTGAGAGGTGAGTTGGGGAAGGCCAGGTTGAGCAGTTGGAGCCTTAGGGAGGGTCTGTCAGAGGCTTGGGGAAAACACAGGCCTCCCTTGCCCACAGGAGTCCAGAACCCTGTCGCCCGCTGCATCATGTGTTGCTTCAAGTGCTGCCTCTGGTGTCTGGAGAAGTTTATCAAGTTCCTGAACCGCAACGCATACATCATGGTGAGCCGCAGTGCAAGAGCAACCCCTTGCTCTTGTGCCCTTGGGCCCAGGCCCAGACCCCAGCCCAGGCAGGCTCACCTCAGGTAACTCTGACCTTCCCACTTCACCCAGATCGCCGTCTATGGGAAGAATTTCTGCATCTCAGCCAAAAACGCCTTCATGCTGCTCATGCGGAACATCCTCAGGTCAGGCTGCCCGCAACCCCCACGTGGTCCCCTCCTCAGCTCTCCCATCCAAGCCAGACTCTTGAGTGTTCAGCTGTGCCCCTCAGAAGGGCCCTGGGCTTAGTTTAATACTTCATTGTTTGCCTCTTGAAATCTGAACAATTTTCATTTTTCACTGGGTCCCACAAATTATGCAGCGGATTCTGCTCCTACTCTTGCCAGGCTTCTCACTCCCAACCTCCCCCAATCCTGGTACAGGGTGATCGTCCTGGATAAAGTCACGGACCTGTTGCTGTTCTTTGGGAAGCTGCTGGTGGTTGGAGGCGTCGGTGAGGGCCAGAGCCAGGGGTTCTGGGGACAGAGGACAGGGGTGCTGGGCAGAGGGCAGGGTGCTGGGCAGCTGATGTGGGGACTTTGGAGGGGCAGCACTGACCTCCAGGCCTCTCCCACAGGGGTCCTGTCCTTCTTCTTTTTCTCTGGCCGCATCCAGGGGCTGGGTAAGGACTTTGAGAACCCCCACCTCAACTATTACTGGCTGCCCATCATGGTGAGTGACTCCCCCTCTCTGCCTTATCCCTCACCTTCCCCAAGAAACCCAGCAGCCCCAACAAGCCTTGTGTCTTCCAGACCTCCATCCTGGGGGCCTACTTCATCGCCAGTGGTTTCTTCAGTGTTTTTAGCATGTGTGTGGACACGCTCTTCCTCTGTTTCTGTGAGTGACACCCCAACCACCTCCTCCAACCCTCAAGGTGTGGGACTACTCAGGCTTTTACGGGGAATTGGTGCTTCTAGAAATTGCTACCTCATCAGTTAAAAAAGCCAGAGGGAGACTCTTCTGACATCCTCAGGCCATGGGATTGGGGAAGAAAGGAGCGAGTGAGCCCCAGGCTGATGGGTTCTCCCCGGAAAGAGCGTTCTAGAGAAGATGCCTCTGCTCTCTTCTAGCCAAACTAGGCTGCAAGTTAACAACAAGAGAGACTTCCCAGCTGGTGGATCTAGTGAGAGGGTTATGTCTTACCCAATTCTGTGCATTTAGGTCCCTTGGGTGGCAGTTTGTATCAGACTACTAACAGAAAGATTAGTGGTTTGAATCCATCCACTGGTGCCACGGAAGAAAGATCTGGCTATCTGCTTCCATAAAGATCATTGTTGTCATTGTTAGTTGCCATTGAGCAGATTCCAACTCATAGCAACCCCATTTGTACAGAATAGAACTGCTGCATAGGGTTTTCAAGGCTGTGACCTTTCAGAAGCAGATTGCCAGGGATGTCTCCCTAGGCGCCCCTGGGTGGGTTCGAACTGCCAACCACATGGCTAGTAGTCAAGTGCTTAACTGTTTGCGCCAAACAGGGACTGCCCATAAAAAGTACAGCCAAGAAAACTCTATGGAGCTCAGTTCTAGTCTAACACGTGGAGTCACCAAGAGTTGGAATCCATTCGGAGGCAATGGGCTTGTTTTTTTGGTGTGTTCATTTATTGAGGGCTTGGTATGTATCAGACTCTGAGCAATTGTCATGAATTTCCCCCCTTAATCTTTATCATCACTCTAGGAAGTACAAAAAAACCCATTGCGGTGGAGTCGATTCTGACTTACAGCAACCCTATAGGACAGTAGAACTGCCCCATAGGTTTTCCAAGGAGCGGCTGGTGGATTCGAACCGCTGACCTTTTGGTTAGCAGCCAAATGCTCAAGCACTGCGCCACTAGGAAGCCCCAAAAAACCAAACCGTTACAGTCGAGTCGATTCCGACTTATAGTGACCCTATAAGACAGAGTAGAACTGCCCCTTAGGGTTTCTAAGGAGCGACTAATGGATTCAAACTGCCAGCCATTTTGGTTAGCAGCCAAACGCTTAAACCACTAAGCCACCAGAGCTCCACTAGGAAGTATAGTAGATATTACTGATCTGACTTTACAGATAAGGAACTGAGCTTACAAAACGTGCCCTCAAAAATCCAGTCAGTGGTGGTGAAGCCTGGACTCACCACCCAGTCTCCTCGTCCCTGATTTTCCTTGGGGTGGGAATGGCCCCTAGAGGGTCCACTCTGACTGGTCTATGTTGCGGCTCAGTGGAAGACCTGGAGCGGAACGATGGCTCTCTGGACCGACCCTACTACATGTCCAAGGGCCTTCTGCAGATTCTGGGCAAGAAGAACGAGGCGCCCCCGGCGGACAAGAAGAGGAAGAAGTAAAAGACCCAGCCCTGCCCTGACCCAGGGCTGCACTCCGCCTGTACAGCCGCCCAGCCCCACTCTGACTTCCAGATTGCGATTTTGTAGCAAAAAGATTTTATTAAAGACTGATATTTTGTTTTCTCAATAAGTCTGAGACTTCTTATTCCCTCCACTACGATGCGCCGCCTTTTTCCCCGCCTGGCTCTTTAAATTAGGACCCGCCCCCTAAAAGAAGACCTAGGTGCCGCAACCAATAAAAAGGCTCATATGGAGTGACGCGCCTCTTCACCTCAGCCAGTCAGCTTCCTTCCGGGTCACGCGCTTCGAGCTTCAAGGGGGCCAATTGAAAAGCGAGTTCGGCGGCGCCGGAGGGTCACGTGAGGGCCCGTAGCACGTGAGGCCAATTAGAATCATGGAAGCTCGGCCCCGGGCCGGCGGGAGGAGCGGTCTGTGTGGATGACACTGGCGGGTTTAAAGGGCCGGGTCAGGCCACCGGCTCCAGCCCCTGTCTAGCTCGGGGGGCTAGTGTTACGGCCGTCGCGTGGGAGCAATGACGGTGGAGCTACTGCGCACAGCGTTCCTGGGTAGACCCGGGGGACCGCGGATGCTGGGGATCTGGAGAGACTTTGCGGCTCAGGTGTTTGCCGCGACCCTCCTGCTGCTGCTGTCTCCGGCAGGATTCGGAGCCAGGGCGAAGGACGACTTCAGTCTGGTGAGTCACCCCCCACTCAGCCCCTTCCCCGACCCGAGCGGGCGGTCTATGCCCGGTGTCCCCCGGAACGCGGGCAACTTAGCCCCCCTCTCCGCTCCAGACCACTCCCCCCGCTCCCAGCCCGCTCCCCTCTTTTGGGTCCCCTCTCTGAGGACTCCTTACCTCCTCGCCCCTCCCGGCTCAGAGACCCGGTTTTGCTCCAAAGTCTCCATTAGGTTACTCATTCTTCTTCTGGGACCCCACCCCTGCTCCGAATCCCCATCACTTTCCTGTCCCAGGGGAACTTGAGTCCGAGATGCTATCCATCCGCCCCCACATCCCAAGTTCACAAGTCTGTCCGAACCGACAAACTCCTTCCGTCGCAGGTGCAGCCGTTGGTGACCATGGAGCAGCTGCTATGGGTGAGCGGAAAGGAGATCGGCTCTGTGGACACCTTCCGCATTCCGCTTATCACCGCCACTCCTCGGGGCACTCTCCTCGCCTTCTCTGAGGCCCGAAAAATGTCCGCGTCAGATATGGGGGCCAAGTTCATCGCTCTGCGGAGGTCCATTGACCAGGGTATAACGACGCCTGGGTGGCAAGAACGGGTGTAGGTTGCCTGGGTGGGGTGCCTGTAGGTTGCAAGGGCTCTTAGGATAGGGGAACTTGGAGGGCTGGAGGCCTGGGTCCCTAAGAGGTAGAGGAGCCTAAGGAGTGAAGGTGCCCAGGGCAGGGATGTAGACATTAGGATTACCAAGGAGTTGAACATTTCTTCAGTCAACGTTTATTGGTTATCTGCTATATACCAGGCAGTGTTCTAGATTCTGTGACTCCAAACCAAAACCAGTTGCCGTCTGGTCAACTCTGATTCGTGGTGACCCCACGTGTGTCACAGTAGAACTGTGCTCCATAAGGTTCTCAATGGCTAATTTTTCCGACGCAGATTACCTCTTGGTGGACTCAAACCTCCAACTTTTCAGGTAGCAGCCAAGCTTGGTAAGCATTTGCACCACCCAGCAATTCCTCAATGAATACAGCCATGAACGAAACAAACCAAAAATCCCTCTCCTCACAGGGCTTATTTTATATTGGGGAGAAACAGACAATCAACATAATAAAGTTTATTTTTGTGTTGGAAGGTGATAAATGCAATGGAGACAAAACAGTAGGAGGTATGAGGAATGCTGGCGTTTGAGGGATTGCGATTTTAAGTAGGTGACATTTGAGCAAAGACTCAAAGGAGGTGACAGTGAGCCTTGTGGAGGAAGAGTGACTAGACAGGTTACAGTCTGTGCAGAGGCCCCAAGGAAGAGTATTTGAGGAATACAAAGGAGCTCAGGATGTGGTGGAAAGTAAGATTCCCTGGGTGGCACAAATGATTAAGTGTTCAGCTACTAACTGAAAGATTGGTGATTTGAACCCACCCAGAGGTACCTCAAAGAAAGGCCCAGCAATCTGCTTCCGAAAGTTCACAGCCATGAAAACCCTATGGAGCACAGTTCTACTCTGCACACATGGGATCATAATGAATCAGAATTGACTCAACAGCAATGATTTGGGGAGAGAAAGGGTACCTCCTGAGTACTCACCCTGGGTGTCTTCCCTTTTTTCTTCAGGCAGCACGTGGTCCCCAACAGAGTTCATCATAGATGATGGGGAGACCCCTGATGGGCTGAACCTGGGGGCAGTGGTGAGCGATGCTGAGACAGGAGTGGTGTTCCTTTTCTACTCCCTCTGTGCTCACAAGTTCGGCTGCCAGGTGGCCTCCACCATGTTGGTGTGGAGCAAGGACGATGGCCTTTCCTGGAGCAAACCCCAGAACCTCTCCCTGGACATCGGCACTGAGATGTTTGCCCCTGGACCAGGTTCTGGCATTCAGGTGTCTGTCCTGGGAGATGGGTACGGGAGCTGCTTTGTGGAGAGTCTGGGGGATGCCCCAAAACGGACTCCTTCCCTCCCTCTGCAAAAAAATTGACTCCTTTCTAAGAAGAAGATCCTGTGGCATCAGATTTTCCATCTCATGTGGGATTCTGTGGAAAAAGGGGACAGCCTGGAAGGAACAGCCTACCAGGGAAAGATGGAATGTTACCACTGTCTTCTCTTTTGGGGGTTGCCACCAGGGCTGTACTAGTTTGTGTGGTACAAATTAGAAAAATGCACCCCTTTCTTTAGGCAGACACAAGCCTACGCCATGGTGCAGAGCTTGGCAAGGAGAACAGGTTGGGTTTAAGCTCCCATGTACCCTCTTGCCTGAGTCCCCTTGTAGGCTGCACACCCTGTCCAGCTGTATACCTTGGATGTCCTGAAGAAGATTATTCTGAAAAAGAGCCTCTTAATTCCAGCAGTAGGTGTTTGTGGGATCCTCCTGGGATCCTCAGTGAGCAAGGGCAGGACTGAAGGGGACCAGACATGTCCTCACATATGGGAGGTGGTAGGTTCCAGGTGGTGTGGGCACCCCTTCTCTGCCTTGGGGCCCTTGCAGTGTCTCCTGTGACACCCAACTCCCCTTTCCACAGAAACAGCGGGAGCCGTGGAAGGGCCGGCTTATCGTGTGTGGCCATGGGACGCTAGAGCGGGATGGGGTCTTCTGCCTCCTCAGCGATGACCACGGTGCTTCCTGGCGCTACGGGAGTGGGGTCACTGGCATCCCCTATGGCCAGCCCAAGCAGGAGCATGATTTCAGTCCTGATGAGTGCCAGGTCAGGGTCCCTGGTTGTTCCCATCCACTCTTCCTGCCCTGTCTTCAAGAGCACCATTTCCCTCCAGACACAGGGCCTGGCTGCCCAGCTCTGTCCCTCCTAGCCTTGTTCCCCTCAGAGACAGAGGCATTTGCCCTTTCTCCTCCTCCGAGGTTCCCCTGAGACCCTGGTCTCTCCCCTCAGCCCTATGAGCTCCCTGATGGCTCCGTCATCATCAATGCCCGGAACCAGAACAACTACCACTGCCACTGCCGAATGATCCTCCGCAGCTATGACGCCTGTGACACACTGCGGCCCCGTGATGTGACCTTTGACGAAGAGCTCGTGGACCCCGTGGTAGCTGCAGGAGCTTTAGCCACCAACAGCGGCATTGTCTTCTTCTCCAACCCAGCCCATCAAGAGTTCCGTAAGTGCCTGATGGGTGAGGTCAGTTGGGGGAGCCTCCGTGCCCAGAGAGGGTCTAGGCAAAGGCCCTCCTTTCCCTGACTATGCTGTCTCCCCAGGAGTGAACCTGACCCTCCGCTGGAGCTTCAGCAATGGTACCTCATGGCAGAAAGAGAGACTCCAGCTATGGCCAGGGCCCAGTGGCTACTCCTCCTTGGCAGTCCTGGAGGGCAGCATGAGTGGGGAGGGCCAGGCTCCCCAGCTCTACGTCCTGTATGAGAAAGGCCGGTACCAGTGCACAGAGGGCATCTCCCTGGCCAAGGTCAGCATCTATGGGATTTTCTGAGCTGTACTCCTGCCATAGGGGTAAGAGGCCCTGGACTCAGCCTTAAAGACCATGGGTCTATAGAGGGATCTGCTGGGGGGTACCTAAAAGGTAGTTCCACCTTCCTTTAGACTCAATCCTTTTGCAGAATCACCTGTTCTTTGACAGGGAAGTGACTGTTAAAATGAAAAGCCTGACTTCCTCTTCTCACACAGGAAGTCCCACCCTCAACTGGAAGCACTTCCTTTCCACAGCCCTGCATGTGGTTCCTTTACCCTCTCTGCCCTCCTAGGACAGTGATTGGTCCTTTTCTTGGGCGAAGTGGAAGTGGGGCCTAGGTGGGCCTGTAGAATTTAATAAATGTGACCTCAGAATTGAGTAGGCAGAGCTTCCTCTTTGGGGGTGGAGGAAGTGACTGGCATTGGAGAAGGGAGTCCCAGAGGCTCAGGATATTTGGTTTCAGGGTAAGGAACTAAGTGTCACCCCTCCCCTGTTACTATTTGTGCATCAATGTAACTTAAAAAATTTTTAATGAAAGAGAACGAACATTTGTAGAGGCTCTGTGGTTCTGTCGATGCACGTCTTCATGTTTATTTTCTGAAATACACTTGTGAGAGAGGGAATGAGTTGTGGGGAGGGAGCTGGTGTGCTTATTGCCTATGAAACATATTGCCAAATGAAAATTGGACCTTGACAAATGAAATCCTCCTTTCTCTTTGAGATTCCGTCTTCTCACAGAAACACAGATTGATCTTCATGAGTGTAGTAAGGAGTAGGAAGGGAAACTCCACAAGATGTTTAAAATTTTCCTCAGCGATATCCATCAAAATTCCAACAGCTATCATTGCAGAAATGGAAAAACCAATCCTCAAATTGATATGGAGTGGCAAGGGGTCCCAAATAGTCAAACCAAACCCATTGCCATCGAGTTGATTCCAACTCATAGCAACTCAAAGCAATCTTGAAAAAGAACAAAGTAGGAGGACTCACTCTTCCTGATCTCAAAACATACTGCAAAGCTTCAGTAATCATAACAGTCTGGTTCTGGTATGATAGACAGATAGACCAATGGAATAGAATTGAGAGTCCAGAAATAAACCCGTACACCTATGGTCAATTGATTTTCAATATGGGTGCTACATCCGTCCAATGGGGAGAGAAGTGTTGCTTCAATAAATGATGCTGGGACACCTGGATTTCCAAAAGCAAAATAGTGAATCTGGACCGATACTTCACATCATATAGAAAACTAACTCATAATGAATCAAAAGTCTAAATGAAACCATAAAACTCTTAGAAGAAAACATAGGAGTAATGTTTTGGGACCTAGTTTTTAGTAATGGAATCTTAGCTATGACACCAAAATATAAGCAACAAAACACAAAATAGATAAATGGAACCTCATCAAAATTAAAAAGTTTTGTTCTCAGTTTGTGAGAAAATTTTTGAAAGCCTGATATCAGATAAGAGTTTAATATCCAGAATAAAGAACTCTTAGAACTTAACAAAAGGACAGCCCGATTTTAAAATGGGCAAAGGTCTTGAATAGACATTTCACCAAAGAAGATATACAGATGACCAACAAGCACATAAAAAGATGCTCACCATCATTAATCATTAGGAAGATGCAAATCAAAACCACAATGAGATACACTTTACACCCACTAAGATGGCTGTGATTTAAAAAACGGAAAACAAGGGGTGGTGAGGATGTAGAGAAATTGAAACCCTCGTCCATTGCTGGTGGAATTTTAAAATAGTGTGGAAAAGTTTGGTGGTTCCTCAAAAAATTAAACATAGAATTACCATATGATCCAGCAATTGCACTCCTAGGTATATACCAAAAAAAAATTGGAAGAGGAACGCAAATAGATACTTGTACCCCAGTGTTAATTACAGCACTATTCACAATAGCCAAAAGGTGGAAACTGCCTAAATGTCCATCAACAAATGGATAAACAAAATGTAGTACATACATACAATGGAACATTACTTAGCCAAAAAGAGAGATAAAATTCTAATACATGTTACAATGTTCTCAGTACCTTACTTTACTCAGCATAATGTTTTCAGGGTCACAAAAGCACAGATACTGTATGATCCCACTTATATGAAATATCTACAATAGGCAAGTGTATAGAGACAAAAGTCTATTAGTGGTTACAAGGGGCAGGCAGGAGGGAGGGGAAAAGGGGAAAGTCATTGCTTAGGGAACACTGAGCTTCTGTTAAGGATGATGAAAATGTGGAAACCGATAATGGTGATGGTTGCACAACATGATAAACAGTGTCACTGAATGTACATGTGAAGAATGCTGAAATGGCCAATGTTTTGTTACATGTATATTTACGTGGTATAATTTTTAAATATTTTTTTCCGGAATTTGTGGTCAATAATGTAATACTTAATTTTTCTTGTTACAGACATTTGAAAAAACACACAAAAGTAGTAAATAGTATAACGAACCCCATGTATCCAACACTTACCTTCTGTAGTTATCAAGATGTTGCCACATTTGTATCTTCCGTTCCTTTTTTTCTTTTTATTTCCTTTGCTGAAGTATTTTAAAACTAATCCCAGGCCTCATGATACTTCACCCCTACATTCCTAAGTATGTATCTCTTTAAAAAAAATCATCTCATAAAAATTAAAAGCTTTCATTCATCAAAAGACTTTACCAAAAACGTGAAAAGACAAGCTACCAAGGGAGAATATCTTCAGAAACTATATATCCAACAAGAATCTAATAACCAAAATATATATAAAACTTTGATAACAAAAAGACAAATAATCCAATCAAAATGGACAAAGGACTTAGACATTTCAACAAAGAGGACATTCAAATGGCCAACAAATACGTGAAAAGATGCTCAGCGTCATTAGCCATCAGAGAGATGCAAATCAAAACCACAATGAGATAAACCATTTCACTTCCACTAGGATGGCTGAGGAGCCCTAGTGGCACAGTGGTTAAGAACTCAGCTGCTAACCAAAAGGTCCACAGTTTGAATCCACCAGCTCTTTGGAAATCCTATGGGGCAGTTCTACTCTGTCCTATAGGGTCGCTATGAGTTGGAATTGACGCAAAGGCAATGAGTTTGGGTTTTTTTGGGTTTAGGATGACTAAGATTAAAAAAAAAAAAAAAACACGCAGAAAATAACTTCACAAATGGCGAGGATGTGGGGAAATTGGAACCCTCATCTGTTGCTGATGGGAGTGCAAAATGGTACAGCCATGGTAGAAAATAGTGTGGCAGTTACTCAAAAAACTAAAAATAGAACTACCATATGACCCAGCAATTCCACTCTTAGGTGTGTACCCAAAACACTTGAAAACAGAGACTCAAAAAGAGACTTGTACACCAATGTTCATTGCAGCACTATTCACAATAGCCAAAAGGTGGAAAAAAACCTAAATGCCCATCAACAGATGAATGGATAAACAAAATGTGATAATACATACAGTGGTGTACTACTCAACCAGTAGGAGAAATGAAGTCTTGATACATGCTACAGTACGGATGGAGCCTGAAAACTTTATGCTGAGCGAAATAAGCCAATCATGAAAGGAAAATTTTGTATGACCTCACTTATATAAAAACACAAGAAAAGGCAAATATAGAGACCAAAGTTTATTAGTAGTTACCAGGGGCAGGAGGGAGGGAGGGGGAAAGTGGGAGGTTAACAGTGATGGAAAATCACATTAAGGGTAGGGTTGCACAGCCTACTATATTATAATTGCTGTCAATAAGTTGTACACCTGTAAAAAAATTGAAAAAAGTGTGTAATAGATAAATTTACAAAAATGACCAAAAAAAAGTAGATGCTGAGGCTGCTTATGTACAACCAAAAACCTCATGGGATTTGGTTCCTTGGTTTGGAGGTTCAGGGCCATGGTTTCATGGGGCATTGAATTGGCTTAATTTGCCTAACAACGTGTTCAGTGCTTCGGTTCTACCTCCTTGTTCATTGAATAGTGCGTGGGGTCTTAAAAGCTTGCAAGCAGCCATCCAAGGCACAACAATTGGGCTTTATTCATCTGGAGCAACCTAAGAAGGAGAACAGAACAGAAATAGGAGGAGGATACGGAATGTGTAGCTAATTGCCTCCATGAACAACTGCCTCCTTTGCCATGAGACCAGAACTGGATGGTGCCCGGCTACCATCACTGAACATTTTGATGGAAGGTTCCATAGGAGAATCCTGATCAAAAGGGGGAAAATGTAGAACATAATTTAAAATTCTCATGGACTCTAGACTCTCTGGAGCCATGGAGGGTGGATGAATCCCTGAAACTGCTGCCTTGAGATAATCTTTAAAACTTAAACCAAAAATATCCCCTGAAATCATCTTAAAACCAAACAGTAGTTTAGCTTAACTAGTATAAAAGGTCTGCCTTGAGCATTATGCTCTTTTAAAAACTATATATGGGATGAAATTGACAACAGCCACTCGAAAGATTGGATGGGAACCTTATGTTCATGAAGGAGGAACAACTCAGAAAAGAAGAATGAGAATGGTTGCACAACTCGAAAAATGTAATTAGTGTCACTAAATTGTACATGTAGAAATTGTTGAATTGGTGTATTTTTTGCTGTGTATATTCTCAACAACAACAAAATAAATAAAATTTAAGAAAAAAAACTATTGCTCTAGTTCAGCTATAATAATAAAAAAAGAACATTCTATTATATGACCATGATGCCATGCACAGCCGAAAAAATTAGCAATAATTCTGTGGTATCTAATACTTAGCCAATATTCAAAGTTTACCAAATATCTCAAAAATATCTTATTTACAGTTGATTTGTTCAAATCAGGATCCAAAGAAAATCTGCATATTACATAGTGATGTTGTCTCTTAAATCTCTTTTCTATAGAAGTGTCACCTCCTCTCCTCTTTTTTTTTCTTTTTTTAAATGCCATTTATTCGGAAACAAGGTCATTTGTCCTATGAAACGTTCCACTCTCTGGATTTGCTTTTTGCTTCCTCAGGGTGCTTTTGAACTTTTCCCTCCATTCTTTGTTTTTCCAGTTATCAAAACTCTGAAGGTCTGATTGGACTCAGATTTTGTTTTGGGGGGACAAGCTTCCTTCATAGGTATCGGGTGCTTCCTATTGTATGCCAACGGAAGACACATACTATCTGCTTGTCCCTCTCTGAGTAAAGCTGAGCTTGAGCAGCAGGTTCAGATGGCCACAGTCTGACCCCTGCCTTGGAAAGTTCTTTCATCAACCTTTCAACAGACAGTTTCATCATGGATGATGTTTGCCTAAATAAATTTTTTTCTCCAGGGGTGTAAAATGGTGATTTTAAAATTCATTTGTTAGCTGGAATTCTTCTGAAAAGAAGAGCTTTCCTTCATCAAGGCTATTTGATTGCCCTGAAACACAGTTTGTATAGGAAGGGCAGAATGAATGCTTAATTTCCTCCTTTAATTGCCAGTTCTCAGAGTAAGGTGATATACTCGGCTTTGGTCAGTGAAGTGCATCGTTACCACACAGCAGACCCATTTGGAGGCAGAACGCATGGGCCTGAAGGAAGACGCAGCAGGAGAACAGCTGAGGGAAGATGAATGGGGAAATGCAGGTGCTGTGATTGTGGGGATCTCCTAAGATCACTAAACAGATATGAAGCAAGGGAGAATGGTTAGGGGTGGCATCTTCAGCAACTGGGATATTTGCTGCATGTCTAATACCACTAAATATTGCACATCTGACAAAGTCTTGTTGACAAGTTTATCAGAAATAGTAGAAGAAAAAGGAGCCCGTAGGTGGTGCAAACTGTTAAGCACTCGACTACTAGCTGAAAGGTTGGTGGTTCAAACCCACCCAGAGGCATCTCAGAAGACAGGCCTGGTGATCTGCTTCTGAAAGGTCACAATCTTGAAAACTCTATGAGGCAGTTCTACTCTGCATACATGGGGTTGCCAGGAGTTGGAATCAACTTGATAGCAAACAACAACAAGAAGTAGAAGAAAGGGGAAATGATACTATGGCTGTCTGCCTGGAGAAGTAGAGGTGGCAGGAGGCTTGTGAGAAAGTGACATTGTTCCTTTTTCATAGCCAAGAATCCTCTGCTTAGAGAGATTGTAAAGAGGAAGGCATAACGCTTATAAGGAGCCCTGGTGGCACAATGGTTAAGGGGCTGCTAACCAAAAGGTGGAAACCTGTGGTTTGAAACCCCTCACTGGCTCCACAGGAGAAAATACCTGGCGATCTGCTCCTGTAAAGATTAAAAAAAACAGTTGCTGCCCAAGTCAATTCCAACTCGTAGCAACCCTATAGGACAGAAAAGAACTGCCGCATAGGGTTCCCAAAGCTATAATCCTTAAGGAAGCAGAGTGTCACATCTTTCTTCTGCAGAGCGGCTGGTGGGTTTGAACTGCCAACTTTTCAGTTAGCAGCCAAGGGCTTAACCACTGTGCCACGAGGGCTCCTTCCTGTAAAGATTACAGCCTATAAAACCCTATGGAGCAGTAGTACTCTGTCCTATAGGGTTGCTATGAGTCGGAATCTGCTTGATGGAACACAAAAATACAACAACATAGCGCTTATTTGTAAAGTGGGATGAAGTGGACTTTGAAACCACAGCCTGGTGAAAGCCACC